TAAAATATCCAAGGATGACGTAGAGTAGGCAGTCAGTCCAATATACAACTCTGGGTTTACAAGCAAGGTCTGAAATATAAATTTGGGAGGGCTGGAGTTGTGGCTCAGTGGTAGAGCACTTGCCTAGCATGTGTGAGGTCCTGGGTTCGATTCTCAGCACCACATATAAATAAATGAATAAAATAAATGTCCATCAACATCTAAAAAATATTTTAAAATAAATAAATTTTGGGAATGTCTGCATATAGATGGGACTGAGATTGCCAAAGAATGAAGGTAAAATGATAGAGACCATGGCTGGGAATGTAGCTTAATGGTCAGTGCATGCTTAGCATGTGCAAGGACCAGCAATCAATCAATCAATCAATCAAACGACAGAGCTGAAGCCAGACAAGGTGGCACACACACACCTGTACTCCCTGCTATGTGGAAGCTGAGGCAAGAGGATCATAAATTCAGCTCAAGCCCTGCGTGGGCAACTTAGCTAGAACTCAGCTCTCAGTCAATGAGGACCCTACCCATCTCATGCCCTGTGATAACCCCCACACTACAGAACTTAGGTCACTTGCCAACATGTTTACCTAGGGTCTAGCTGAGGTTACCTTCCTCCAAGAACCCTGCAGCACTGCCTCCCCAAAGGGGCGAATGTTGGCTGCAGAAAGAAAAAAAGAGTTTGGAACCTGTGTGCAGGGGTTACATTAAGGAATAAAGGTCAGATAACCGGACTCCAGTGGTGTGGGGTGCCTTTGAGGGTGGTGGCAGGCTGTTTGTCTGCCAGGGTGGGGGAAAAGCAGTCTGAGCAGGATCTTTGGTTCCAGGGCCCGCATCTCGCTCAGTGGAGCGCCTCAAGGAGATGATCAAGGCCGGGATGAACATTGCAAGACTCAACTTCTCCCATGGCTCCCACGAGGTGGCAGCGAATGGAGGGGGCAGAGGGCGGGGCTGGAGGATGCCCCAAGCCCTAGTCACCTTCCCTGGAAATCTCGCTTCCTCTTCCTCCCCAGTACCACGCCGAGTCCATCGCCAACATCCGGGAGGCAGTGGAGAGCTTTGCAACTTCCCCGCTCAGCTACCGGCCAGTGGCCATCGCTCTGGACACCAAGGGACCGGAGATACGCACTGGAATCCTGCAGGGGGTGAGCCGCGGGGCTGGGGCCGGTGGTGTCTGGGGTGGAGAAGGGGACCCCAGAGCGCCCAGGGAATTGGGCGGGGCCAGAGGCGGAGCTGGGGGACCGGTCAGGGACGTGCGCGCAGGACTTAGGTCTGCTCTGGCTCTCCACTAGGGTCCGCAGTGCGAAGTGGAGATAGTGAAGGGCTCCCAAGTGCTGGTGACTGTGGACCCGGCATTCCGGACGCGGGGGGACGCGAACACCGTGTGGGTGGACTACCCCAATATCCTCCGGGTCGTGCCGGTGGGGGGCCGCATCTTCATCGACGACGGACTCATCTCCCTAGTGGTCCGGAACATCGGTGCGGACTCACCTCCCGCCCTGACCTCGCACGAACGCTGGGCACATTCCTTTCCCTTTGGTTCCCCCATTCGCCCTTAGACGGACACCTTCCCCTGGCCACGTGTCCTTCCTACTCTTCTCAGGAGTCCCCAGCATCCAGACTTCTGCTTTCACCTGGGTTGGAACTGGACTTGCGGGTTGGTTATGTCTGGCACAGGAGCCCAGAACCAGGGTGGGGAAATGAGTGGGACAAGGTTCCTGATCTCTTGAGGGTCCAAGGCTGGTGTCCCTTCACAGTCCTCACCGAAGTTGGTTCTCTGCAGGCCCAGAGGGACTAGTAACCGAAGTGGAGAATGGTGGCGTTCTGGGCAGCAGAAAGGGCGTAAACTTGCCAGGTGTCGAGGTTGACCTGCCTGGGCTGTCTGAGCAAGACGCCTTGGACCTGCGCTTCGGGGTGGAGCATGGTGTGGACATCGTCTTTGCCTCCTTTGTTCGGAAAGCTAGCGATGTGACCGCAGTTCGGGCTGCCCTGGGGCCGGAGGGACAGAGCATCAAAATCATCAGCAAAATCGAGAACCACGAAGGCGTGAAGAAGTGAGGCTAGGTCATTGTCCCCATTAGGCACTATGGGGGACAGACCACTCCCCCTACTTCTCTTCTTTTGCTCGCTTCTCCATGGCATCTCCCGGTTCTGCTCCAGCCCTGATTCCTCCAACCACCCAGGTTTGATGAAATCCTGGAGGTGAGCGATGGTATCATGGTAGCACGGGGAGACCTGGGCATCGAAATCCCAGCTGAGAAGGTTTTCCTGGCTCAGAAGATGATGATTGGGCGGTGCAACTTGGCAGGCAAGCCCGTCGTCTGCGCCACTCAGGTCTGGAGTGATCCTTGGGGCTGGGACACTTTGTGGTCTTGGGATCACTTCGGGTGAATATCCACATCTTAGGTCTTTGGACACTGCCATCCAGTGTTTGATCCTCAAATAGTGAAGTGAAGTAGAGATCTTGTAACCCTCCTTTTCAGTTGAGGAAACTGAACTGCCAGGGTCAAACAGCTTGTGGCTGTGATCCTGATTTTCAAGGCACTCTGGGAGTTTAGGTGTCAGAGAAAGTAGCTTGTCAAGGACTCCAGTGAGAGTGTGCTTCCTACAGCTCTGACATCCATGGTGTCCCCAGATGCTGGAGAGCATGATTACTAAGCCCCGGCCAACACGGGCCGAGACCAGCGATGTGGCCAATGCTGTACTGGATGGGGCAGACTGCATCATGCTGTCAGGGGAGACTGCCAAAGGCCACTTCCCCGTGGAGGCCGTAAAGATGCAGCACGCGGTAGGAACTCATAAGGAAAGGCCAATGGCCTGGGGACCCAAACCCTTTTTGGGCCCCATTGTCCCTCGCCAGCCTGACCTTCTGGTACCTGCAGATTGCACGGGAGGCCGAGGCCGCGGTGTACCACCGGCAGTTGTTTGAGGAGCTGCGCAGGGCAGCACCACTGAGCCGGGACCCCACTGAGGTGACTGCCATCGGGGCTGTGGAGGCCGCTTTCAAGTGCTGTGCTGCTGCCATCATCGTTCTGACCACTACTGGCCGGTGAGGGGGACACTGGGAAGCCCAGACAGGGCGTTGGGTTAAGGGTAGGCTGGACTGGGCCGTGGACCCGAGTGTTGTCTGGCCATCAGGGATAAAGACCAGTGCCGCAGGGCAAGGAGAGAGACAGCTGTGAGGCCTGGCGGGGGGGGGCAGATCTTGGAGTGTACCAGGACTCAGGTCATCTAGTTCCAGAGGACTGGCAGGATGGCATCCCTGAGCATGTTGGCTTCAGGGCAT